ATCAAGACTCTGGAAGCAGACTGTAAACCTCTGACCTATACACTGTTGTGACTTCCTCATTAAAAGAAAACTGGACTAGGCTGCAATAACTGCACTTAAAATTTGCATGGTCAAGGATAATAATGGATCCTCTTGAATTTAAGAAGCTGGAAAATTTAATTTTGTCTCTGCTGGCTTGAGGTAGGCATTGTTCGGAACCATAGCAGTAGCTTCAGAGAGTGCTTTTGCACTCCATCAACCTCTTCATTAGAGAGGCCTGATATTTAAACTTCCTTTCTCTTCACACCATGCCTTACTACTCTTACAGCTCTGCCAAGTGATGGCTCCTCCACTTACAGGGTTGGTAGCTCTGTACAGTGTGAAACCTACAGTAATCAAGGTGAGTGACAACACAGGCCTCACTACTCGCAGTAGCTGAGAGTGTGAATCTTGGCACCAGTATTCAGAATATGGCCCTCACTAGGGAGGCATGTAGATCTCACTCTCTGCAGAGAATGGAAGTGGGAATGTTGGTTATGAAGTATATGTATGCCTGCAGCACTGATACTGAAACATACATACAGAACTGCAGCCTGTCCTCTGCCAGTTGAAGGGCAGGAACCAGAGACTTCTCTGCCCTAGAGACACGAAGTTGTGCTAGGTTATAGAAATCAGGTTTTGCATTACTGAGCAATAAGGAAACCTTCTTTCGTGGTCAGAAGCCAGCATTAACTACATTTAGATCTAAGACTAAGAGAATTGTGTATCAAACACAAAACACAGAGCCAGCTTGGTAGGGTAGTATTGTGACCTCGCTATTTAAGTCTGAAACTCCAGTGAGGAACAAACACATGCTGGTCTTCTGCTAGAGGTTTATGTTCTACTACACCTTCCAGCACTGTTTGTTTTTCATGATTGCACAGATTTCCCTTCCATGTCTTGCTTACACTTGTTAAGATGAGGTAAATCAGCATGATTCTCCATTCTAACCTTCTTAAATCCTCTATTGTTTATCTGCCACATTTTTCTCATCTGCCACATTTTTCTCATCTGCCACATTTCACTCATCTGCCCTAACTTGCTCTCCAGCTTTCTCTTTCCCAAACCAGGCCCATCTTTTTTCTTCCTCCAGAATGACGGTGAATTCTGCTCAGACTAAACAGCACTGACCACGTAGTTCCATTATTCCTTATAAACACTAGTAAAGTGCTAGTCAGACTGAGCTCACAGCTGGAAGTTGTGTCTCTTTGCATGGAGTAAAGGCGTAAAAGGAGTCACTGGGGATAGTGGACAAACTTGAGATGCACACAGAGTTAATATCTGATAGAAATACTGAGCTTTACATCTGAAAACCCAAATTCAAAAATAATATGATGAGTAAGACTAAAATTCCCTGTTCTGAGCTTCCATGGGGGCAGCTCCCCTCCCCACCCCCCTTCAGGGCTCTGCAGTCACTTCTCCTTTTCTGGTGTGCCTTGCAGAAATGTCTCCTGGGATGAGTCAGAGCAGGACTTCCAGGCAACAATGTTACTGCCTTTGGCCCCACCAAACAGGGGGCAAAAATGTCTTTGGTGGGTCCTCAGGGCTCCTTTCACATACTTTGATGGCTCCCTCTGATTCACTTGCCCCTTGATACTGTTTTTTTCTGAAACAGAGGATCATAGAAAACATGAGGTTGACAAGGATCTCTGAGAGGTCATTTCGTCCAGTCTCCTGCTCGAAGCTTCACAGTCCATTTGCTCAAGGTCAGGGCCAGCTGAACTGATGAAAATCTCCACAGGAACCTTGGACATCTCTTCCAGTGCCTGATCACCTTTATTGGGAAATTTAAAAATCTTTCTGCGCTGTCTACATTCATGGTCTGCCCCTGTTTCTCAGCTTGCCCGTGCCCTCTGTCAGTGCTTCACATCGAGTCCTCCACATGGAGGCCTTCCAGAGGTGTTTTGATGTGGTCTCTCCAGAGATTTTGCTGGGGCTCTGGCACCTTTTCTCGGCAGCAAGTGCAGTTTCAGGGCACGGCTCATGCCCCGCCCTTTTACAAAAGCGAGCTTGCTGTAACACAAGAAAAAGTATGAAAAAGTATGTTTTAGAAAGTCCTGGGGACAGAGTACAGAGAACACTATTAGTTGCGAGGAGGCATGAATTTACTAAAACTCTGACCCCTTTATTAGCAAGTTTTGTGGTGCAAATTCAGCTGCCAGTTTTCCGGGGAAGACCAGAAGCCCTGCGGTGGCCAGGGAGCAGGGCCCCCATCCTTCAGCCAGAGCAGCAGCTTGCCAGGTTTTTTGAGACACTCGAGGCTATGCCTGGCTAAAAGAAAGCCTTCCATGGCTCCGGAGTTACCGGGGGAAGGTGACACCATCGCTGAGCTCGGGTTGTCCGCGTTCTGCCAGCCCAACACGACGCGTTCGAGGGGACAGGCCGAGGGCGGCCTCACGCCTCACGTCCGCCCGGCCACTGCCGGGGCCGGATCCCGCCCAGCCTCCAACTGCGGCGCCAGACCGGTGCCATGAGCTCCCCGCCGCGTTCCGCTGCCGCACACAGGCCTAGCTGCCCGTGTCCGACACACGGGCTCTCAGCCACCAGGCTACACCCGCTTCCCTGCGGGCGGGATTCCCCGTTCCCCCCCGAGGACGCTCCGGGCCCGGCCGCGGCTCCCGGCGGCGCCGTTCGGCGGGCGGGCAGCGCCGCCGCGCGGGAACCCCGCGCCACTGCAGCCCCGTGCCCGGAGCGCTCCCGGGCCGGGCATGCAGCCCGCGCCGCTCGGCCACCGGCCGCGACAGTCACTGTAACTGATTCTCCGCCTTTCCTTCTGTATTTATTAACCTTAGGGGGTTTTTCCCAGCCGAAATATTGTAAACGGATTTTTCATATGGGTGACCCAGCCAATAATATACTCCTTTATCAACTGAAGTAGAACTTTAAAAGATAACAACAACAACAGCAATAATAATAGTAATGTAGCATTTGTCATTAATTGTAAAGTAATTAATACTTTTGAGAGACTTAATTTTTCAATGTATGCACCGTGCTCCACTGCAATCTCTTGCCTTTTGTGGATGCACAGCACGCCAGCCTTTGGGGGCTGTGCATCAGGTGTACCCCATGTCTCTGCCCTCATGGGTGCCACTGAACTAGAATGGGTTTACTTTTTTTGTTTTTAACTCTCCTCTGGAAAGCTCCTTCAGTTCCATCATCGCCCCACTCCTGTGAGATCGATAGAAGACCACAAAGGTTGTAAATAAGGGTGAGCATTGGAGGCACTCAGGTAAGCAGATTAGGGAGACAAGAGCATCAGTTACAAGTCAAAGAGAGCTGAATACATAGTGACTGTTTTGCCAGTCTACCTTTAAAAGTGATCAGTTTTTTAACCCTCAGCTGGGTAAATAATTCAGTAAAGAATAAAAAAATCTTAAAGTCATTTTCAGATAACCCATATTGAACTGATTCTGTGGCTTGGGGGAGGCAGGAGAAGGCCCCAGATCCCTGATTTTTCTGTATGGATCTCTAGACTATCACTGAAAATTTCACTGCACAGCCACCAACTGTATAAAAGCTCTATTTGATGAACAGCAGCTGACACCTGATGACATGAGGTACAGAGCGAACATTTAATCCAGAATTCTTCCTGTGTTGACATACAGCAGGATGTCATAAAAACTGAGAGCCTTGGAGTGACTTCCAGCATTGCTGGAATCAAAAGCAAACTCCCATTCATTTCACTGAGACCATGGTACCCCTACTGATTCCAACAGTTGAAATTCTCAGTGTGGCTTGGTTTACCTGAGGGGTTGCCTGTTGCAACTGTGATAATCACAGCTATGATCCATCAGCACAGGAAACTGTGTCACTGGAGCAGGGCTCAGGAAGGCTGAGGATAGCTATTCAAGCAGTAGGAAGGCAGCTGTGGGACACAAAAACCATAAATTGTACAATTTGAGAGCAAAATACAAAATACTTAAAAGTTTGCTTTCAGAATTTGGCTTTCTATATAAACGTTCTGCTTGTAACTAAGAAAGACATAACTTATCTTTAATTGCATTTGCAGCACAGCAGCCTGAAGGACTGTGCTGCTGTTGCATGAATGCAGAAAGAGCAGCTAAACCATTGCAGGCGACTGCGGCTGACTTAATTCCTAGCTCCTGCTCCAGGGCATGACATTGGTATGATGTAATGAGACTCGGGTGAAACCGTAGCGAGGAGCACCAACATCAGCACTGCCTTCTTGGGAAATAGGATTCATTCCGAAAACTGGAACGAGAATCAAGTTCTGCGTCTCAGGGAAAATGGTAGGAGATGGAACTTAAAGGTACATCAGTACATTTTGGAAAGTATTGAAAACGATAGCTTGGCTTGTATGAAGATAAATCTTTATTCTCTTCTGACCCAGTTTCCTAAGCACACGCGGTTTCTGCAAATCTCTGCAAGAACCGCGGGTAACCTTCACCACTAACAGGACACCAGGGCTTAAGGAGCTCTGATGTTTCACAAGTTATCGTGAGGGATGCAATGAACGTGTGAGGAGGAAGCAAGTTTGCTTAAAAGTCACTCTATCTTTCAAAAGCATTTCGAGGCTCAGTCCTCAGCCACACTTTCTCTGCTCTAACAACTTCCAGAAATTCTGCTCAAACCCCGGTTTCACACTGTGTTTGTCTCTTCCCATCTGTAGCCCAAAGAATTTATAATCCATTTAGGGAGATTAAAAAATAAGGAAAAAAAAAATCTCAGCAAGTATGTTCCAGAAGTCCGTGTGTCGCACAGCACGCGCGTTTGTGCCCCCGCAGCCCCCCTCGGGGATGTGTACAAACACACACCTCGGAGCAGCGAGGAGCTGTTTCCCAGGCTCTGTGTGCCCGTGGGCACCCCCGCTCCCGCCCCGCCTGGACACGGCGGCGGCGGCCGGAAGCGCAGCACGGCGGCGGCGGCTGCCCGGCGGGGCGGCGGCGCTGGAGCCGAGGAGGCCGGGACCGACGTGGCCGGCCGGGGGAGGCGGAGCCGAGGGGCCGCCGGGCGGGGCAGGCCCGCGCCGAGCCGCGGCTGGATGGCAGCGGCGGCCCGGGGCACGGCGGCGGTGGCGCACGGTAAGTGCGGCCGGCGGCCCGGGGGCGCAGCTGGGGGCGGGGGTCACCGGGCCGCTGCTGCGGTGCGAGGGGGGACGGCGGGGCCGGGGGCGGCAGCGCAGCTCATCCCCGGGCGGCGGGATGGGGTGAGCGGGGCCGGGCAGCGCCACACGCAGCGGAGCCGAGTCCGGTTCTAGGGGAGTCCGGCCGGGCCGAGCGAGGGACAACTTCGGGAAAGACGCGGCGGGGAGCGGCTGGCGGGGCCGCTGCTGCCGGCAGCCGTGTCCCGGCCCGGCGGGACCGTGGGCTGCGCGCCCCCCGCTCCGGGGCCGCGGCTGCCCCCGGGCTCCCGGGGCCGCGTCCCCCCTCGCAGCCCGCCTTTGCCGCAGCTCGCCGGGGGCGCGGAGCCGGGCGGCTGCCGCTGCGGGCGTGCCCGGGGCTGCGAGCGCAGTCCCCGCGGGACGCAGCCGAGAAAGTTTTGGAAGTCCCTCCTCCGGTAGACGGTGCCGCGAGAAGGTCTCGGCGTGGGGGCTGCCCCGCGGGACGCGCGGAGCGGGGGGGCCGGCTCTGCGCGGCCACAGCGGCACAGGGACCCCGGGCGGCACGTAGTGTGCTGCTCCAGAAAGGTGCGTGAGCAGCGTTCATTACTAATCCGCCCCGCGGCAAATGTGTCTCGCTTTGCATCGCTCAGCGTTCCTCTAATGGAAAACCCGCGCTGTCTGTCCCGTCCGCCGCGATGTCAGAGACAATGACACGAGCGGGCCCGCCGCGTTAATCGCCTGCGGGGAGAGCGGGGCCGGAGCCCGGCGAGGGCAGCGGGAGCGGGGCGGTCTGCCCGGCCTGTGCTTCGGGCTGCCACGGAGAGTGGGCTGGGAGGAGAGACGTCCCACCCAGCCCACAGGGAATGAACGCCGCTGCCTGGTCCTCAAACTTCCCTCTCATCCTAGGGATGAAAGGATGCAGGATGGGCAAGGAGTCGGCAGTCTCCCAAACTCCGTTAGCGTTCAGTCTGTTTCAGATGGCCTTTCTTGCCAGCTCGTAGGTTTCCCCCGGGTCTGTAATCTGTTCTGATCTGCGACCCCATTGTTTGTAACCCTGTGCACCCCTAGCTTTTAGCACACGCTGTCATCTGCAGAAATGTGAGTCTGTGTAGAGTATTTTTTTATGAGAGGGATGGGGCAAAAGGGAAGGGTCTCACCAGAACAGTGCATTCCTCAGAGATAGGCAGTGATTCAGAGAGACGGGAATGCTCAGGGAGTACTGGAGACCTTTTGTGCTTCTGCCGAGGTCAGGGTTTCCAGGAGGAATTCAAAACTCTCCACAGGGCTAATGGAGGGAGGTGGTTCATGCTGAGTTTTTTGGCTGCAAATTATGCTTCCTCCCTGGAAAATAACTTTTTTCCATTCCATGCAGTACTCTTTCAACCGTAAGACCAGGCAACTGGCTTCCAGGGAAAACACTTGTAAAAAAAGCCTTTTATTTTATTTTTTTTCCTTTCAACAACATCTAAAATGTTATTATGTGGCAATGAGCAATTGCACCAAGAGAAGAAATTCTGTGGTCTGAGAAGGCAGAATGTCTAGGAAGAGAGTAATAGATAGAAGCATGGTCGTCAGGTCAATATTTAATTTTCTCTTTTCCAGTAGGTTTTTGCTTTGGCATTTTAATTTTGTCTATGTTTCTCAGTCCCTGCCTGCTACAGAGGTGCTCAGTGAGCACTGTGAAGTAAGGGAAGCACTGGGAGCCTCATGCATCTCCTGGCTTGGTGTGCAGCTTACTCTGCTCAGGAGCGTGTAAATGGCAAATTCTCATTTATTTGTTCTTTCTGGGCTGGAAAAGCCTAATGGTTATTCCAGGCCTGAGGCTGTTGCAGGAGGAACTGAGCAGACCTGAGTCCCGAAAGCTCAGAGATGTGGAGCTCTGGAGAGTGCTGTTAGTGGTCATGGTCACCAGGTTGTGAATTGAACACAGCTGGGAGCTGTGATCCCAGACGGAGAATTGTCAAAACTTGATAAATAAATGACCCGCTGGCTATTTTTCTCCCGGAGTTTCCTGCTCTTAAGTATGTGATAAACCCTTCTTGAGAAAACACATCTCTAAACCTGGTTATGCCTCTGCCTCGTGAGCACAGATGTCTCTGAGAACTTGCAGTGCTTTCTCTAGAAATTTCTCAAGACATTCTCTGACTGGGTTCCTAAAAACAGATGCTGTTGTCTAAAATTAAGGGTAGGTAGAGACTTCCTCCATCCTTTGCAACTGTTCTGACAGGGTATTATTTTCCTCTTGAGCAGTTTTTTCCTATGACTATGTCTTCACTGCTTATTTTCTTCCTCTTAAATATTTGTCATAGGAGCAACCAATTTGAATGTTTGAATTATTTTTTTATTTTTTTTTTAGCAAGTGGTTATGATGTGTTAGGAATAAGGAAATGCTAGGAATATGCCCTAAACAATTAGGTGGACACAAAAAGCAGTTCTGGTGTGTCCTGGAAAATATATTATCTAATATTATTTTCCTCTTGAGCAGTTTTTTCCTATGACTATGTCTTCACTGCTTATTTTCTTCCTCTTAAATATTTGTCATAGGAGCAACCAATTTGAATGTTTGAATTATTTTTTTATTTTTTTTTTAGCAAGTGGTTATGATGTGTTAGGAATAAGGAAATGCTAGGAATATGCCCTAAACAATTAGGTGGACACAAAAAGCAGTTCTGGTGTGTCCTGGACAATACACCGAGTTTCTCATAGATGTTTTATAAACATGAGGAATTTATTGCATGAGATAGGAGGTTGTTCCTGAGGCATGATGTAATGATGGTCTGGCTGCACAGGAGTAAAGAAATGTGCTGATTTTTCCTCATGTGGGTAATAGCAGAATAAAGACCTGTGGGCCACAGAAAGTTGACCAACACTAATGTGAGTTAGGGGAATCAGTTTCCTACACCTTTTTACCCGTTTGTTTTTCACCGCCATTCCCTTTTTGAGGAATCTGATCCCTTTTTGTGGCTGGAAGAGCGACATGAAGCCAAGTATGCAGACCTTTTTCAGAGTTCTGGACATGCCCTTTGTCTTGTGTGCTACTGTGTCTTAGTCTCTAAGACCCTTTCAGGTGTCCCCTGGGACTTTTGTGGATTGTGAGTGTGGAGAATGAAATTCAAGAAATCGACCCGTTGAAATAATTGCAGTGTTTACTTTTCCAGATTGATTTTCAAAAGCTGTGACAATGTTACAGACGAGATCTGTGCTGCTTCCCATCATTGCTGAGCTATGTGTGTCTGTTGCTTCTTCATAGGCATGTATGGTTGTATAAATTCTGATTTATTTTCGGTGTGTTCCTCACAAAGTTCTCAGTCATTTTATAGGTCTAATCCTATCATAAAGGATGAGGACATTTATCAGGCCCACTCCAGAGGTGGATGGGGTGTAGGCCTGAAGGACTTAAAAGAAGGGATCTAATCCTTGTAATGAAATGGGATCTGCATCAGCTGTTTCTTTTTCTCAAAATTAAAAAAAACAAAAACATAACCAAACCAAAAACACCCCAACAAAAAATAGCGCTGGAGATTCTGCATCCTAGGTAACCTGTTTCAGTATATCCCCACTTTGGCACTATGTATATTTGTTTCTTCATATTCAGGCTAAATCTTGTTTACCATTTGAACTGATGTGGAAAAAGAGTTGGGCACTTTCCCTTTTTCTTGTGACTTTTAATGTATGCAGGCTGTTCTGTTCCTTTGGTGTTATCTTTTTAAGACTAAACACACCCAGGTCCTTCAGTCCTTTTTCCAGGTCATGATCTCTACACTCTAGTTTTTGTTTTTGTTTCTTTCCACTTCAGTGTCTCAGATTTTTGCATGTGTTTTATGAGGAAGAGTATGTGGGGCTGGATGTGGTCTGTTGGCTACATAGTGGCACTACTACTTTGTGCCAGGATGACATTTACCCTTTTTGTAGCAACATAAGCCTGCTGGTTTGGAATTAATTTTTCAATCAGTGTGTGCTTTTTTCTTTGTAGCGCGTTGGAATTAGTGTTTTGTCATTTCCATTCGATTCCACACCTGCCTCCCCTGCTTTTAGTGTACTGTTTTGTACTGCTCTTTACTGAGATTGGTTTGATAGTAGATTATAGGTAGGTGTGGGGTTCCTGCAGCCAGATCTAAACACTGTGATTAGATGTCCCAAAATCCTGAGCTGGATTGAACTTGTTGTATTGAGGGATTTTTTTGTTGTTGTAATAGAAAAGTGATAGCATTAACAGTCCTTGCTCAACAAGCCAAGCCAGTGTCTTCAGTGGTTCCTTCTTGCATCCCTGCTTCTGATGTTCATGGTCACTGTGCTTGGAGATTGGTGTTCTCCTTCAGAGAAGCCATGGGACCCTGTCCTTTAATTTCTTTCTGATTGCTTTTGATTGCAGCTTGGCTTTCCTCCTGCAGTGTTTTTGTTCAGGGACTGAAACTGGCATGGGGCCATGAGTTAAAAGTAGATTTTCCTGCTTGTTTCTTCTGATGCTGCTCACTGATAGAGTCTGGTGTGAGCATGGTGAGGTGATGCTTCTTGAAGGAGTGGGGGACAAGGGTCAACACCACCCTTTTCATCTACAGTCTTAGATTGGCTCCAACACCCTGAATTTTGTCTTGATAATTTCAGGTCCCCTTCTACCTGGCTGATACTTAATGCTTTGATATCTTTATCAATTTCTTATCTTATAGGTAACTACAAACTGATCATTTAATTTGATCAAGAGTCCTTCAGAGGATTGAAGTTACTGGTGTGTAACTTCTCCCACCTTTTTTTTTCCTTTCATAAAGGTAGGTGAGGCATGATGCTTCTCCAGCCTTCTTGTGGCCTTCCCATACTCCTGTAAATTTTCAAAGATGGTCACTGATGCTTCAGAGATTAGATTGGTTTCTTACATGCTTTCAGGTGAATGCTGTTATTACCTCTCAAGAGCTGTTTTGTGAACATTTGTTAGGTCTATCTCTTTCTAACCCACCCTTTTCTCCCATTTCCAAATTAATTTTGCTTGCCACATTTCACTTTTTCTTTTGGAATATAAGGAACATTTGTACTTCAGCTTTTATTTCATTTGCTTTCCTTCCCTCTCTGTCAATGAGTGTAATTATCTTTATTTTTCTCTTCTAACATGCCCTCTTCTCCAGTCTTCTTGTGACTGCAGAGCTCTTATTAACAGCTGTGCTGATTTTGACCAAGAGACCATCTAATCTAGTATACTTCTACAAAAGGATAAAAACAGGACAAGTAGATATGGTATTTTTCAAGTACACTTCTGTTCTCCAGCTCCTCTCATATCAGGGAATTTCCTGAGTCTAATATGAGCTTTAATCATTTAACCATTAACAATCAATAGATTTGGCTTTCTAGTACTTATCCTGTCTTTGGATGAGTGCATGTAAAATTTTTCATCTTTTTTGGAGAAGTGCTACCACACAAGTTACCTGCTGATGAAGAGTCATATTTGTTTGTTTTGAAGCTGACCCTCACTGGCCCCATGTGGATGGGTGTCTGCACTTGTGTCTGATGAGATGGTGAATAATCTACCCTGTTCCCCATCTTTTCACCACTCATGAGTTCACAGGGCCTCTGTTATGTTGCCTGTCTTGCATCTTAATTTGTTTCAGGGGTGCTGTTCCACGGCAAAGAGAAGATTTACCTGGTAGTATCTCTGGTCAATATCTTTTGCTGAAGCCTTGGGACACTGAAGGGCAAGAACAAGGGTAGTTGGAGTCCTTGTCCAGCCCATCTGAAGGGAAATAGTGAAAGCCTGATGCTTTCCCATGATGTCTCAGTTTCATACACCCATTGATAAACAGCCTCTCTGGCCTTAAGCGCTGTGTTGAAATCAAGAGGAGTTTCAGGTGTTCCTCATGGGTATTCATACCTGTGCTAAAACACTGAAGGGAGGGCTTGGTGTCTCCAAGGCTTTTCCTCTGGGATGGTGGAACAGAGGGTTGAACATCTTTTCAGGACTGCTTTCCCCTTCTCTTTTCAGAGATTGGCCAGCCCGGCTGAGACCACTTAGCAATGACAAAACAAAAACTCCTGCTTGATGGGACACTTTCCTTGTTCCTGATCGTGGCCTGTGAAGCTCAGCAGCTCCCGAGGGGTCATGTTGCTGCTAGTTCTGGTTCTCTGTGTGACACGGAGGCAGAGTCTTGGGGCCACCTGTTCAGCAGCGAGCGGCTGGATGCTTGGATCTGTTCTCTCATCGGTTCCTTCATGGTGGGGCTGAGTGGGGTCTTCCCCTTGCTGGTGATCCCCCTTGAGACAGGAGCTGCGCTGCGGTCAGAAGGTAAACCTGCCAACTGCATTGGCCTTTCTGAAGCCAGATGTCCTGAGATGTGACAGCAGCACAGTGGTGAACAGGACCTAGTCACAGAAATGTTCTCTAAAATAGAAAGTCTGTTTTCAGTGCTTTAATCCATACCTGTGAACTTGAAATGGAGTCCTTTGACAAATGTAAGCCCTGGATGGAGCTTGTACTGAACAGAATACTGTTTTTTACCCTGCTTGGTTCAGGACCCTCCCACACACTATTGTCCTAGCCAAATGGTGCAAGGGCTTTTTCTTGCACTCCATTTGGTTTGTGCTCTCTACTTTGAAAGCTTGCTTTCCAGATGCTTCTAGTTTGGGTTTCTTTGTGCAAAATCTCAGCGGGAGGTGTTTTAGTTCCTGGCTGAGTAGTGATCAGATTTTTGCTTCTTGTTTCGTCTTTTTGGTTTTTTTTTAAGCTGGGTCATGCCGTTTGAAGCAGTTGTTGAGTTTTGCCATTGGTGGACTGCTGGGAAATGTGTTTCTCCACCTGCTTCCTGAAGCCTGGGCCTACACATGCAGTGCAACAACAGGTATGAGAGCCTTATGTGCCTGGAAGCAGCTTGTGCTGTGCCTGTTTTGAATCTGTTCTGCCTTGAAAAGCCCAGTCTGGGTCTGCCCAAAAACTGGTCTAGGCTGGTATCCTTTTTCAAGTAATATATAAAAGCAGATGCCGATGGAAGGATGTGAGACTAAAAGACCACACACTTAGTACTACATCTTTGTACTTAGGAGTCCTCCAGACTTTGAAATTAGAGGCTTTCTCAGTTGGCCATGGTTTCTCTATGGTTAGTAACTTGGAATGGTTTTCTTGTCTATTAACTTTTCTTATCATGCCTTGGACTCCTGTAAATATCTGTTGATTTTCCTTTGGTCCCTTCTGTAAGGAAAGGGAATGCTTCTTTAACCTGGTGGGAAGTTATGAATGTGTATGTGGTCTGGTATGTGAACATGTTCGTCATTTCAGTTAGCAATCAGGTGCCCCTTTTTTACAAATCTGTCCCTATAGTAGTGTTATTCCTAGAACCTCTTTTTTGGCACTAACTGGGGCCCCTCTGTTGGATGCTTTTGAATTATGGGTGCTCATGTGTTGCAGACTTTGCTCCATGAGAAGCCATGGAATGTTGTCTATAGAGCCACAATTGAGATTGGAGGGTGGGGCAGGGGAAGAAAAAGGAAATGGAGTGACAGAAACTTGTGTTTGCCAGCAAATTAAACACTGAGTTGGTATAGACCTTGTGGTATCAGTGTGGTTCCTTCATCCTTCAAATAGCCAGGGTTCCTGAAACCTATAATGTTTGTATCTCTCTACTTCAGCAAACTGATGTCATGAAAAGCAATTGCTGCTGCATCCCACCTTTTGAGAAACCAAAAAGTAGTTTATGGCTGAAAATGTGAGAGAGGGAAGACAATGCTCTGGGTTTCCCAGACTTTCTTTCACCTATGTCTTGGGGTTTCAAATCTTCCAGGCCTTTAGTCCTCTTTTTCCTCACAGCTCTAGGACTGTCAGCAGAACCTGCTGTACTTTTTTTTCACCCTTTCTACAGTGGGTCCCAAATTACTCTGTCTTCCTGCTCAAGCTTGTTTGCTTCTGCCAGACTGTCCTGAAGCGTAAAGGTTTCCTTGACCCATGTAAGTCCTGTTACAGAGTCTTTCTGTTCTTCCAGTGCAATGCAATTTCCATTTCTGCAGTGAGGCTGAATGGATTATTATCTCACAAGCTTGGCTGTAATTGAAAAGAAAGTTTATAGCTTTGGGCATAATAACTTGCTGAGGTGTGGCAGAAAGGGGAAGGTGAGTTTGTAACTCCACTAACAGCAGATTTCATGTCAGGGCTTGCTCTTCAGTAGGTACAGCTGCTGGATTTTAGTTGATGTAATATTCACTTGCCTCTGGAGCTCAGGGAAATTCCCAGTGTTGTCAGGAAATATTCTGTGTTGAGCTGATGTGGAAGAAAGGTTGGTGGCTCTCACTCTGAGTGTCTCAAGATGATGGTATCTGTTAGATCAAGAATGAGCAAGTGAAACCAATCTGTTTGGAGATGTGTTTACTCCTCCTACCTTGCAGGGAGTTTTTCTGCTGTCATTTATTTTTTGTCTTGGAACTGCATGAAAAACTACCTACTTAATAGAAACATGAAGATTTCTCTTTGGTCCTTCAGGAGAAGGGCAGAGCTTTCAGCAGCAGAAGCTTCTTGGTCTCTGGGTGATCATTGGTTTCCTGACCTTCCTGGTGCTAGAGAAGATCTTCCTAGAGAAAGAGGAGGAGTATCCTGGTGTGGTAAGTTAGCAGCCTGAGGGGAGGGAGCACTCTTATATTTGAAGCTCTGTACTAAATACCTCATCTGCCTTATCTGACAGCATCAGGCAACTATCCTGTAGCTGTGAGTACCTTGTCATTGCCCTTTGGGAGTTTTTTGCCACTTTTTTGCCACTGGTCTGTAGGAGTAGGTTTCAGGCTTTTGTTTTTGTGGTTTTAACTGAGATATCTCACTTCTGGTTTGGTTTTGTTCTTCATGAGGTAAGTGTAACAGAGGGCTCCTGTTTTGTGGGGACTGGGAGCTGGAGCACTCTGCAAATAAGCTTTTTGCTCAAGTAAGCTTTGAGGGGTGGCAGCTTGCTGATGCATGTTCCACTGACCCATTGTGACTCATTCTCTTTCTGGGATCTCAGTCAGGACAAAGGCCAGTCTTCTTGCAGATGTCTTGGTTATGTCCTGGACCAGATGCTTGTTTGGGTTACTTTGTGTGGGTAAGGGGTTTATGATTGGCCAGGTAATACTAAATTCAAAGGAGTCACCCAGCTGCAAAGGGGTGACATAGATGAGGCAGCAGAAGATAATTCCAAGACAGAGGAGGGCACCTAGTCTTCAGACATCTCACAACTCCTAGTTGCAGCTCCTTTAGACTGTTCAGTCCTTGCTGTGCCATGACTTTTGAGAGGTGAAACTGAAGGTCAGGCACTACATAAGAGCAATTAGGTGTTAACTTTGACTCAATGTGAGACTTTAAAGGAACTTCATCTTCTCACTTAGAGAGAGGCTGAAATGCTAGATAAATATTTTGTTGTTTGGAAGATGATGATCCCAGCTATAGAATAATTCTGTAGACTTAGTTATGCTGATGCACTGGGGAGAGCAAGACTCTTTTTCCCCATCTCCGGCCCAGATGGAGTTGTATTTCTCTGGGCAGCAGCTGCTAACTGGAGGGGCAGGCTCAGTCCCTTATCTTTCTAGTAGAATCTATCTCATGCCAAGGGATTGTGACTCCAGTTCCTCCTCTTTCTATTTCTCTTGAGGATTGGGAAGTCTTAGCTCTTGTCTTTCAGGGCAGATGTCACAATGCTCTCTGAATCGATCTCATTTCTGGCTGTTACTACTAAACTGGGGTGTCAAAGCTTCTGGGTCACATTGTAAGGACAAAAGGATTAAGGGTGAAGCTTGGATTTCTGATCCTGATTCATGCTCATTCATCACTGAAAAAAACTCAGTGGCAGGTTTGTTTCCCCTAATTTAGGACTGTGATTCCAAAGCACCATCTGGAAAGATTCCCAATGGAAGTGGCTGTCCCCTGCCGAAGGGGTCCTCTCAGTCCCAAAGAGCACGAGCACAGTGTAATGGCTCCTCTCTCCAGTCTGGTCCAAAAAACAACAGAATCAAGGTAAGAGACCCACAAACTCACCTTCACTTTTTAGTCAGGAATTGTCTGTGGAAAGAATGTGCTTGAGTGGGGAACTCAGCATTTGAGTTGTGCTTAATTTTGCTCTCTCAAACTGTGTCCTGGTCACAGCAGGGAGGAAATAGCAAACGTGGAGAAAATCTACACTGCAGCTTATGTGGAAGAGGCTAAGTTAATAATATAAAGGCATAAGTCTGATGATGTGTGTTTTGGCTGAATTCTGATACCAAAATACAGAATTTCATGTTTTGTTACTCTATATTTTATAGTCAATATGTCTTTATTTGCTTAATTTTTTGCACCATGATTTCTCTGTTCTCTACAGCCTGCATTGTACTGATTCTGAGCTGCACTTTTCCTTTTAAGGCACCTTTTGGAAGTGTTTTGACACCTTTAGGAAATGTGTTGAAGCTACCCAGTGTAGAATTTAAAAGTTCAGTTTCTCAGATTATCAGTTTACCTGCTGCCAAAAAGGACTTCTTGTCCACTTCTGTCCCCAAACTTGTATTTCCCATCACTTCCTTTGCACTGGGTCTCATCTGACCTCACAGTGAGCCTATTCAGGGAGCTAAACAGGCAAAGGATTTGCTTGTCTACACCCACACACCCACCTCCCACCCCCCGGTCTATTTCTCTCCTAACTTAACTTCTTGAATCAGCTTGGCATGCAGACAGTCTGCCTGTAGTGCTGGGATAAGGGAGATCAGCTCATAGGCTCATAGGCTCTGGAGGTGGAGGAGGAAGAGCCCTGCACCATTGGAAAGTGGATAACCTTTACATTGGCTTGGCTTTCTGTTCAATGTTACTATCTTTGTACTTTGGAAAACCCTTTTCTGGGTGAACTTACAAGTGAGAGAGTAAACAACCGCTTTGGTGAAAGAAGACCTGCAATTTGAGTTTGAAAGCCCATAAAAATGTGCAAGATTGTATGAGTGCAACTATGGACAGAAAGTGAACTAGCCTAAAACTGCATATGTGGTCAGTCAGAGGCTCTTCAGTCTTTCTATTTTAAAGCTGTTTTGCTGTAACTTTATAGCTCTTCCTACAGAACATGAAAGTTATGCTGAGGTCACTGAGTATTTTTGACATCTGTCCAATTCATGTAATTTGTACATAACACTGCACTAACTGCAAGGTGCCACGTGGATGGTTCTAGAGGTGGTAGTAGTGAAGACACCAATATTACTGGGTTATGAAACATTGTGCCCTAATTTTGGAAGGGTTTATATAAGGAACTATAGACTACTGATTTCAAGTAGAAATGAAACACTGATAGGTGATACAATTGCTCAGGACATGGTCCTAATAGAAGAAATAATAATGTAATTAATGCTAATTTATGTAAGATAAATTCTTATCAGCAAGTCATTTTTCCTGCCTCTTATTCAGGCATTAAATAGTTTAATAAAGGCCAAGACAAATGTACATAAAACATAACTTTCTCCCCCATTCTAATCAACTTTGCTAATATTAGCTGTATTAAAAATCTGTTATTCTATGTTATCAAAAGGGACTGGTTTAATGCAGCCCCCCTCAAATCTGTTCACTGGTGGGTTATGATTTTTCTAAGTCATTATTTATAAAAACAGTATTTCTTCACATTTGCAGGTACTGTGTTACATAAATGGAACATTGTGACTGCATGAAGTCAGTGATAGCAGCTAAACTGAGCAACTTCATCAAAAGTGCTGAATTTTTAACAGGTTTTGATACATGCAGTTATGAGGAATAGATTAAGAAGGACCACAGATCATATTTACAAGATAGGGGTAGTTTCTAGTAGGTCAGTGCCTTGGAAAAACATAAGAGGATTGCAGTATGAAATTGTCTGAACACGTTCTTCCCCCATAATGCTACAGCCAGGAGGATGGATGAGTAGGAAATAATACGTAAGAGGAGAGGTGAGAGTTCTTCTTTCTGCATAGCAGTAGTGGAACAACTATCTGACTTTTTCCAGTAGAGCCATTCCAAATATCCAAAATACTACTGATAATTTGTAAAGGAGCCTGGAATGAGATGAAACATTATTTTAAGTTTGCAGTGCATGATAAGTGTCTTTCTTTGGTTTAGCTCTGTAGTCATGATAGATCAAGGGTGACTTAGAGTATACAAATACCCATGTTTGAGGAATGACTAAATTTGAATAGTTACAGCTATAGCAAACAGTAGCAGACTAGAACACAGAGACAACTCTCTAACTGAGGGAAACTTGCCAATGGACCAACTTGCCTTAGAGATAGCAGATTTTTATCACTTGTGAGCTGTAAACTGTGGTTTAAGCTGCTCTCTACAGAGTACATGATATCTTAAGAAACAATGAACTTTATGCACAAATTAAATTAAATTCTTTCAGTTGTGTTATGTGGAAGGCTTCGACAACCATGGAGAGCCTTTCTAGCTTTAAAATCCTAACACATCTGTTCAGTTTTACAGATGGTTGTCAATATGCATGAATTAGAAACCAAAGACTTAATGGGTATAATTTTAACTTTCTACCTTCTGATCTTATAATCTGAATATTTTAATAGTCTTCCCGGTAGGGTGGAAATTATCAAACCTACCAAGATACTCCTGCGTTGTTAGCCTGTTTCCTAAGGCAACAACATAAGCAGTCATTCCATCTGTCTGTCCATCTGTTCTGCCCTTCATTTTCAGTAACTTTTGAACCCATAATTAATTTTCCTTGAGTTCAAGAGAGGATAGGAGTCTTGGGGGTGATCAGATTTCTGCAAGTTCCATAAAAATCGGCGTGGCAGTAGAGGAGGAATGCAAAGGGATGCCCTGTTGAAAGCAGCACTTGGAACTCAGGTGCCACGTGCTGCCTGGCAGATGCTCCTGGCTGCAGCTGGCCTGGCCTGCTGGGGACAGGGATGCCACACCATGTGTGCTGGGCAGGGCACCTGCAGGGAAGTGGTGCTGCTGGGAGTGACCAGAGTAGGTACTCGCGAAGGAAAGAGTGAAATCCATAGCATGGCAGATTTTTTTGGTTCTTCTGTTCTCTCCAAAACCCCTATTTTTTCAGCAAACAAAAAGGGAAAGATACTATTTGAATGAACAAAGTCATTCTTCAGGACTTAATGATTAGTAAGTTGTAGTGAGTTGACTGTTGTCCACATATGTATTAGAACTTCTGCTTTTTAGCTGCTGCTAGAATATGTCCTAGCTTGAAAATGTCAGGTGGGAGATCTCCTTTGCATGCAAACGTAGATCAGTTCTGTCCCTCATTGCAGCCTTTATTCCCTCAACAAGTGAAAACATTGTGTACAGTACTTTTGCCTTGCTTATTCTTTCTTTCCCCCTGTGGCACATGGGGTCCTGGTTGATTTGTGGAAGTCTGTTTTATTACACAGTGACATTAATTCTGAAGCATGAACATAAACACTTCATCTGGCTGTGCTCTTTATGTGCAATGAGAAAATCCTATTAGGGATTCGCAGAATGTAAATGTCAGAGGCTCATAACTGTCAAATCAACCCAATTTATTTCTGAGCACTCCAAAGCTTTGCTTCTTTCAGTGACAGCTTTTGCCCAAGCCACTGACAACAAAAAGTCATAATGTTTTAATCATGAAGTCTATTTTTTCCCTATACGGTGGTATGGGAAAGCATTTTTGTGTAAAACTTCTCTGAATAATTATTATTATCCTGTGGGTAAAACACCATAAAGTAAATAAAACAACATGAAAAGGAGAATTTTAGTCTTGGGTCTGCCTGCATGCATCTGTTTGTGTTTCCTTTCTTACAAAAACATGCAGGGATCTTTTCCATTCATTGTGGAGATGTTACTTAGATTATTACTTAAAAGTAGGTTAGGTTCTGCTGAATCCTTAATTTTCATATTTAATCATCAATGCACTTTAAAAAATCAGATAGAAACAAGGAAGAGCATAAGACCAAAAAGAGCTAATGAAGTCCATCAGCACTTGTGGTTGTCCAGCTGAACTTTGGCATCTGATGCTGTGGTGAAGAAGTTAATGCTTCACAGTTTCCAGTCTCTCCACTCACTGGATACTGCCCTGTATCTGGAGCTCTTGCAGTCCAGAGACAGATTGATGATATATGGGATAACACCTGGTTTGATAATAAACTGAAGTGCCCTATAGTGAACTGCAGTATCTCAGGACCAACGTGCATTAGTTTTTGTTAAATCTGATGGAAAAAAAGCCCAAACCCTGTGAGCTAAAGAGCTGGAGTGGTACCCTCTGGTAAAATTACTTTAGGTTAAATACTCAGATTTTGTCAGGAGATGACCCTAGTTAAAATGTTAGAGAATTTTAATATGGAGATGGACTTCTGAGGTAGGCAGCTGCTTTATACTTATAATTTTAAGAAATGTGTTTATCTGCAAATGCTGATACATGCTATCCAGCCTTCTAGTAGGTGTTTTTTTGGTGACTGTCATCACTATCTTCTCTTTTGATTCTTTGTTAAGGGAAAGCAAACCCACAAGCATGAACTTTTTTGGTACAATGTTTGAAGATTTATTTAGTTATAGAAAGTAATTCCAGCAGCATTTGTTCTGTTGCATTGTTTTTGCCAGCTTTTGAAGAGGAGATATTTAACAGTTGGATATTAAAGTACATGACTTGAAAACAAGATCAAGTCATATTTGAATCCAGTCACCTGTGTAAATTAGTCAGTGTTACCTAAAATTGCTTTGACTTAGAATTAAATATATTCTTGCATTTTGACTTTCTTCTTTTTCTTTTATTTTTCTGTTTTTAGAGCTCTTCATCATTTGCATGCAGTAATTATTCTAATCTCAGACAATACTTGCTTACCCTAAAACTTAGTTTACTCTAAAACCAAAAATGACATTTAATTTGTACTCAAGCACTGATATAGTTTAAGATTTTCAGCAGAAGCATTGTGCTTTGTCCTTTCCCATCTGAATGTGACTGCATAACCCATGTCTAAGCTGTGTGCTTGCTTTTATCTTCTTACATCTCTTCCTTTATCAGGGGCTCTTCCTTCTCTTTGCAGATTAGTGGGTACCTCAATCTGCTGGCCAACACCATTGATAACTTCACCCATGGCCTGGCAGTAGCAGCCAGCTTCCTGGTTAGCAGAAAGGTAAGGTTTCTGTCCCCAGCTGTGTACTGAAATGGAGAGGCCTTGTCTCAAGTGTGAAACCGCTAAAAATGTAAAGGAGTTCCTTCCTATTTGCTGGAATTTTCTGAGAAAATACAGGCTACAGTAAAACCCAACCCTATCCTGACCCTATGATGCAGAGCTTCTTTGAATTTGGGACACGTTAGTCATTTGTACTGGCATTAGGGGATGGATTAGCTCATCTACCCTCATCTACTCAAAAGGCAGTCCAGAAATAACATGATGAGGATGGTCACCTCAGAATCTGGGACACAGACAAGGCAGAGATGTTTAGTGCATTTTTCTTTGGTCTTCAACACTGGTGATGGGCTGTGGCATCCCCATTGCCCTGAGCTGGAGCACCATGACTGTGAGAATGATGAACTCACAGTCAACCCTGCACTCATGGGATCTACTGCTCCAGCTGGATCCCTGTGAGTGTATGGGACATGAAGGGATTCATCTAAGAAAACTCTGTTTCCTAATTGCTTTCTCTCTGCTGCAGGTTGGGTTCCTAACCACAATGGCCATTCTCCTGCATGAAATCCCACATGAGGTGAGAGGGCTTTGTATCCTGCCATCACAAGGGGGATTACAATGTGCTTCCTCTACTAAGAGGAGGTCTGGGTCTGGTTAACATTTTCTTGTCTTCTTGAAAGCTGCTCCCTCTGGGGAGACTGACAACATTGAAAACCAGGAACAGTCTTGAAGCACTGGCCTTGTTGTGAATGACCTTTGTGACTGAGAATTTAGTATTCAAGTTTATTAACTGTCAGCTCTTGGTTTTCTTAGGTTGGAGACTTTGCAATCCTACTTCGGGCTGGCTTTGACCGCTGGAGTGCAGCCAAGATGCAGCTTTCCACAGCTCTGGGGGGAATTCTAGGAGCCTGCTTTGCAATATGTTCTCAGTCACCAAAAGGAGCAGGTAAGGTTCCCTGGGACCTCTGTAGAAATGGGGGGTGGGAGGCAGTGCTTGTCATCCTTGTGTATCTTCTTTCCCTTGTGTTGTCTCCCATGGCTCTGTCTCAGTAATAACCAAAGCTTTCTGTATTCGTGCAGGAGAAACAGTAGCCTGGATCCTCCCTTTCACTTCTGGAGGATTTTTATACATTGCCTTGGTAAATGTTGTGCCTGATCTCCTGGAGGAAAAGAATCCTTGGTAAGTGCTCCCTCCTGTTCCTCTGCAGCAATTCGTGCTGCCGGGGGCAGGGATATATCCCTTCCCTGTGCCTCTTCTGCAAGAGTGTGAATGCCAGCATTACAAATCCTATGGACAAGACTGGACTCAAAATAGACTGCTGTGCTATTTATTGCATTTGTGGGACTACAAAGACCCTCTGTAACACAAGAGCTTTCACCTGGGTGAGTCCCAGAGATTGTGCTGGCAGGGCCAGCTAGAGCAGGTTCCTGGGAAACATGTCCAGTAAGGACACCACTGCCCAGTCTGCTTTCAGCTTCCAGCACATACTGGTGTAGAGACTGTCTGAATCAGGGCCCCACAGAGGTGTGTATGTTTGATAGCCACATCTGAATCTATCATTCCATGCTTCTCTCATCCTTTTCTGACCCTACCCATTAATTAGGGCCTCTGCAACCTCTTTTTGGCAGCAGAGTTTGACTGTACTAAGTGATGCTTCTTAATATTTGGTTTTTACACTCTTGCTTATTGATATTTTTTTTTATTATGTATCACTGTTGCTGTGTGAGTATAAAATAGTTTTCTTCTCTTTATCACTCAGCATTTTGTAGTCTGTCATTGTATTCCATCTCAGACATCTCTCTTCTGCACTGGTATATATATTCCAATATATTTGGGTTTCCTTCATGTATTATTTTAGTTTCTTGCAGTGTAATTAAGGCTGTAGCAGATCCAAATCCAGCTGTTCCATAGCAACAGCCCTCTCAGATCTGCTGGCAGAGCTGCCCCTGAATGTTCCCTCCTATTTTAATTGTAATAAGACAAGTAACTTTAGTAATTTAAATAAGATGCCTTGATTCACCTAGTTAATTTTGACTGAAACAGTGCTCAAAAAAACAGCTCCACAGTTCTATCTGAGGAGATTGGAACTTTTTGTGGAGAAGTGTTAATTTGGGTTGGTAACCTCTTGTGTTGGCAGAGGTTGTTGGCAGAATATGCAGAAGTGGGCTGCACACAGTCACTTCAATCCAACATAAACCCAAGATAGTGCTAAAAGAATGGCCAATTTTTTTTTTTTTCTGTAACTATAGTTGTTAGCTGGATGAGTGTCTAAAGTGTCTGTGCACATGCTGCATAAGTGCTGGTTTCCTCGTGAGTGAAAGGACATGAATATGTATTTGAGTAGCTGCATGACTGAATCAGCTTGAATTGATTTGGAAGCCTGGAGCGGGGCCTTGCAGCTGAGTGGAACAGCTCCCTGCCAGTTTATAGACAACTTCTTTGCTGGAGGTGCTGGGAGGGTCTTATCTGTGTTAGTGACTTCATACAGCTGTTGTGTTCTCCACGTGGTAGATTTGGAAGGGCAAAGAACAAATCATTGGAGAGCTCTGTGCAGCTGCCTATGGGGATTGGTCTATGGCTCCTTTTAATTTTGCTGTTTCTTTCCCAGGAATTCCCTGCAGCAAATTCTGCTCCTGTGTACGGGCATTACAGTCATGGTGCTACTCGCGCTCACAACTGAGTGACCTCTGCGCAGACCTCGTGATGCCTCCCAGAGCCACCACAGTGACTCTGAGCTTTACAAAGCAATAAGGAACACTAATGTTACTTCCTACGTGTGTGTGCGCAGATCTGGCTGCTAGTATGAGAAGCAGGTGAGAGAGAGGTCTGGCTGTGCAAGACTTCATTCCCTGGCTCTCCTATCCCTGTTCTGCTAAAATTCACACATGAGGGCTTCTGTTCTTTTTTTGTTTGGTTGGTTTTTATGGGGCAAAAGATACACTGGGCAGAAATGAACTGAACAACTGCTCCACTTATGAGTGAATGATGTTTCATTCTGATGGAACTGCACCTCCCAAGCTCTTGCGTGAAAACAACAGAGGTGATTCCTGTCGCTGATGAAGATAAAGGATTTTTCCTACTGCTTTAAGGGCTGGAGGCAGAACAGGCATGACAGAGCAACAATAAACAGCTTTAGCCTGGACCCCTACCCACGAGAAGTTGATGGTGCTATGAGATAGAGGGGAAGAGACCCTTTCCAACTTGATCTCCAGCTGTTCATTGACACTACTTGTTCCTAAAGGTAGTATTGGCCTCAGCAGTCCAGCTCTTTTGGTCTATTTTGTTTACATTGAAATTGAGCCAAAAGCTTGAGGCACTTTAGGGTAGGTCACTACAATTAAATGACTTAGCTTGGAGATTACTTGCCTCAGCCCTAATAGCCAGCACAGCCCAACTGTTTATCTGATAAATGATCAGTAAATGTTTCTTCAATTGCCAACTACCAGCTCGCTCACACCTGCAGGGAAAGCCATGTAGCTGTTGTGACTGAGCTCCCTCTCCTCATAACCATCAGCTGAACATGCCTCTGAGCCTGCTCATGAGACCTGGTTCATGCACCATCTGCCTCACACCGTGTTTCAGAGCTTTCTTCAGGTGTAGCATGTTAGACCTGCCGAGCATGCTGCTGCACCCCTAGACCGTCATGGCAGAGGGGCTTGAACACTACAGCCTGGGCAGCAGCTGAGGACTCCTGGTTAGCTTTTCCTCTGTTCAGTGTAGACTATTAAAGAGCATACTGTAGATGGTAGCCTATTTCTGGGGTTCTTACCTCAGATGAGTTGAGCTCATCTGTTGAGGATGAATGAATAAGAAATATTTTAGATGGGCAGGTTGAAACTGCTGGTGATAATATTTTTAAGTAAGGTGAGAAAGGGATATGAAAGGGTGACAATAAGTATGCTTTAAGAGGAGTTTTCTGTTATGTGATGCTTGGGATAAAATTTTTGGCAATTTGAGACCAATAAAAATAAATAAAATTTCTAGTGCTTTCCTCCATCCTAGCTTACAGGGCTGACCAGGCCATAATTCCACAGGGATGTTTTATTGCCACAGAGGTGTGCAGCTGCTAGGTCATCCCTTCTGTAGAACTTAACTTTGCTCTGCTTAAATTTGTTTAAAAACAGGTCTAACTGAACTAGCAGAGTCACTGAACACTTAACAGGTGCCACAGTGTGGTTTACACCAACTTAGCTCAGTCTTTTAACAGCTTTTGTGAAGCAGTACAGCTCTCCAGTCTGCCCAGGACCTTACCAAGAGGGCTCACGCATTAGGAGGGCGATTTGGGTCAGAGCAGCAAGGCAGGTATGCTGCCCACAGCAGAGGCATTACTTCCCTAAGAGATTTCTGAACTGTTGACACAGTTCTTTTTTATGACAGCTCCTGTCCTACTTTTCAGTGAATTCTGGAGAGCTCATGCTTGCAGTTCTGTCTGCCCAGGAGCTGCTGTCAAAATTTTTTTCAGCTTTCCTTTCCCTGGACTTATGTTCGTAACTAGTTTCACGGCAACAAGGAGGGAGGCTTAGTGCAATTGTTTATTCCTCTTAACAAAGTTGCCTTCCTGTGCCAACTACTCTCTCCATCATTCAGTTGTCCTGTGGTCTGAAGGGTAGCATCCACTTCCTGCTTTCCTGGAAGGATGATTAATCCAGTTAGCCTGCAGGGACTGGGGGAGTATGCCAACCCTCTGGTTCTAGCTTTGGGGGTTCCTTCTACCCAGGGACTGCAGCTAAGCAGACCCTGTAACAGGGCTCTGGAGGAAGCAGGCTTACACAGAAAGCTATGCCTGCTGTTTCTCAAGATGTCTTTCCCAAAATAAGGCTGGCATTTAAGTTGAGGCATTGCCAGGTGAGTGCCCATGAGTTGGCGTTGTTGCATCAGCACTGAGCCTTGCCAAGACTGAAAACCACAGTCAGGATTTTATACTCAGCATTCAGGAATGTGAAGTGGATGACACTGAAGAAAGAATTTCTGAGCTGTTTTTCTTGGCTGCTGTCACAGGCATGGATAGTCTGTGGTTCTTGGGAAGATACCCGGGTAGGAGGTAGCATGGGGCTTGTGGGAGGGAGGGGTTCGATAGATTTCTATTGCATCAGCCCTGGGGCTGGGGATTGAGAGCCTTGGGAGGAAATGGAGCATCACTCCACCACATTTGTCACTTTTGGAAATGCAGAGAGAATTGTATTTTCTAGCTCTATTTTTTCAGCTGCTCTTATGCATTTTCCCCCTTCATCTGTATTGGTCTGCTCTGCACGGAGACAATAGAGATGAAATAAATGGTTTTCCATGTCAGTTTGTGTTGTTGGGTTATTTTGTTTGGCTGGTTTGGGCATTTTTTGAAGTTCCTACTTTCCTTTGATTTAAAAACTCAATTCAAATTAAATTTAAATTACAGAGACATATCTCTGGTTTAGTCTAGAGCAGTCTGGACTCTAGATTGCTGTCAGACTTTCCCCAGACTTTCACAGTTGAAAGAAAAAGTTCTATTCCAGTTTCTTCTTCCTGCTGTCATGGAACTGTTGTCCAGGAGCAGTGTGGTAGAATCGTAATTCTTGACTGCTGCTCTGGGTTCCCTGAAAAGCATCACTAAGTAAGTTTCTCCTCTTTCAGGGGAAAGCTTGCATGGTAACTTTATTGTTCTGAGAGTTTTGTAATCATACTTGACTGTAATCAGTTACTTTTTAAATCAAAAATCCTCAAGGCCTGTCTGGTTTCAGTTAATGCTAAGCTGGATACCTGCCATTTAGGACAAAGGTGCAATCTTCAAATGTTCTGTGTTCCAGTTGCCCAGAAAGGACAAAAAGGAAATTCTCTACCCTTCAAAAACATGGGTTCAGAAAATGTCTTATCCCACACTTCATTTGGAAGATTTTCAGCTATAAATGGTTCATTTATATCTCCTCTTACCCAAAGTCTTCTTAAAAAGAGGGAAAACCACAACCCAAGAGCTGGAAGATGAAGGCAGGTAGGTGATCAAGGGCATGATGTCACAGTCTGTGGATTTTTGCCAGTAATCTACATTTTGGAATCTCTGTCCCTGGATTTACAACACTGCACTCTTGGGCTGTGCTGGTACTCCTGCCCTTAGGGCTGTGCTATGAACCTCTCTCCCTCATCCCTTTTTCCTTCTCAAAAGTAATCAAAATTATCATGAATATGTTTCACAGGCTCTGGGAAGGATGGCTCTGACACAATTGCAGCAGCACAGTAGAGTTTCATTAATGGGAACTTTCTAAGATGATGGTGTTGCTGGAGCCCTTGTCTTCTGAAACTGTAGCCTGAGGAGCTCACATGGAGAGTAGGGTGACATAATAGGATTGCAGATTTAAGAAATGCGAATATTTGGATCTTTCTGGGAAAGAGCTATTACAATTGAAGGATTTTTCCATGTTAGCTAGAGCAGTGATTGTATTTAAAAATTATTTTTCTTTCTTGCTGTGGAAGACTTAATTTAGCTGGTATGTGTAAGAAGATTCTTTTGACAGCAGCCCTTTGAATTTGTCTGCCTTGAAGGCACTAGTGTGCAGCTGCATGGATGGTAATCCCATCTGTCCAGTGCAAACTGCGGAAGAGGATCATGCAGAAATGTGGTTAGAACAAGCTTTAGCTGTGGCTGCTGCATGTTTCCACCAGGCAGAGTGCTCAGGGGAGATAAGCAGAACTCTGTTCTGGGCAGTGTTGCTGGCAGAAGTGCTGGGGACGGTGTTTAGGTTGTGCTTAGACACCAAGAAGTGGCAGGGGGGAAGGATGGGAATCTCCTACAGTTTGAGCATTTTCTCCTGGGAACCAATTAAAACTACTTTTAATAAAACAACCCCAAAGCTAAGGATTTCAAAATTGGACATTAAATTAGTAGTTTAGGCGTAGCATATCACTAGATCATTTTATCTGGAGAATTGATTTGACGATGCCTTAACACCTGACAGTGCTGCAGCTGGAGCAACAAGTCCTATACAACAAGCGGGATCAGAAGGGATTTTGTGCCCCTATAAATGATGCATTTAACTAAGGGATGGATTTAATCCGCTTCTCATTGCATAAAATAGATGGACATTTTTCAGCTTTTTCAGGCCTTATTTTCCATTAACTGATAATGAAGGGTGGGGTGGAGGAAAAGTCATAATCCAAACGCCAACAAATGATGTTGCCGGGTGGTGTTTGTATTTCGCGTAGATTTGAAGAACTGCTGGCTCCCGCGGTCTGAGCAGGGCCGGCCTCTGCCCTTCTGCCCTGGGCAAGCCAGCAGGACGGCGGCCAGGCCAGAGGAGGCCGCGGAAAGGCTCGGAGGGTCCGCTCACCCGTTCCTCCGGTCATCCATCCCCCGGTAGCTGTCCGCGGCCACCCCCGCACCGCCTCGGACACGGGCCCTCGGTCCGCGGAGCAGGAGCCGGGCGCCGCGGCGGGGCCGGTTCCGGGACCCCCGCGAGGCCGTGCCCGGGGGATGCGGCGCTCGGGGACCGAGCCCGGCGCGGAGACGCGGCGCGGGGGGCGCGGGCCCCGAGTCCCTTCCGGGGGCGGTGCCGCGGGCGGCGGCCCCAGCCGGGCTGCAGGGAAGCGCCCGCCCCTGCCGCCCCCGGCGCGGTAAGATGGCGGCCGCGGCTCAGGCGCTGAGCGGCACCGGGCTGCTCCTGGCCGCCGCCGCCCTCGCCCTCCTGGCCGTGGCCATCGGCACCGATTCCTGGTACGAGACGGACGCGCGGCGGCACCGCGAGCGCTGCCGCGGCTTCGGCCACAAGCGCAGCGACCCGCCCGGCTCCATGTCGGCGCCCAGCTCGCACCTGCCGCTCCGCGCCCGACCCCCGCGGGCGCTCCTGCCCGGGCGCCCCCCGGCCCCCGCCCCGGCCGCCGCCGCTTCCGCCGCGCTGGACTCGCACTGCGGCCGCCGCTTCAACTCCACCGTCTCGGGGCTCTGGAGGCGCTGCCACCGCGCGGGCTACGAGCCGGACAGCGAGGAGCTCATCCGGAAAGGTGCGGGGGCGGGGGGCGGCGGCGGCCCCGCCGCTGTCCGTGGTGCTGAGCGCGGTGCCGGAGCGGCCCCGCCGGGGCTGCGGACGGGGCGGCGGCTGCCGCTGCCGGGGCGAGACCGGGCCGGCGGGCGGGCGCGGATGGAGCCCGACGGAGCCGTGGCTCCCGGTGCCCTGGCGTGCGGGAAGCGGCGAGCGCGGCCCTGACCCCATCCCGGGGTCTTGTGCGCCTCCCTCTCTGCTAAAAATGGTGCAGTGCTGGGTGGGACCGCGTCCTCAGAGAGCCCCTTCGGGGGCCCAGTGCAGGGCCTGACTCTCGGTGGGCGTCCTCCTAACCCCGACGCTTCCTTCCAATTGAGTGCTGAGGAACGTGCGGTGTTGTCTGTAGCACTGTGATTTTTGCAGCAAGGTGAAAGGGACCTGTTGTTCCCGTTCTAGCGTGGGGGTGTTCTCATTGCTGCAGTAGATTGCCAGGCTTTCATGGTGGCAGATGTCACTCAGGGCCCCCAGGGTGACGGGAGAGAAAGCTATGGATCTTCTACTATTGTGGCACAATGGTGCAAAGCCAAGCAGGCCATGAAGTATAAATAAAAGTCCTGCATTTGGTGGTATAAATAATGTAGTGGGCTGACCCATGAAGTCAATGGGTTATGTATGGTTAATGGTAAATAGCAGGACTTAGTGTTCCAGCAGGTACATATTAGCACAGAGAGAGTAGGAGTTGGGAAAAGTGCTTCCATTGAGGCACAAAATGGAAATGCTATCTTAAGAAAGTGAGAGCAGTTCTTCAGCTTGGCTTCCAACTGTGACGCCAGTCCTGCACAGCAGAGGCTGGATAGACTGGCACTGTGAATCTCAGCTCGTCTTTGTCCCTTCTTTCCAATGCACAGCAGTGACTCTTACTTCTCAAAATTCTAGTGCTATGTTCTTAGCTTCTTTCCCTGTTTATTCTCCTAGGATACATTTTATGTGATTTAATTTTTACTTCTATGCTGAACTCCTTTTACTAAAAGGGAACTCATTAATTTCTTTCTATTAATTGTGGCTGTCATGTAAAATATTTATCTATTGTTTTGCTTCACATCAAGCAAAAGGCTTTCAGCTCCCACTGATATTAGCTAAGATGGGGGAAGGGGTGGGAAGAATACTAGTTTGGTCCTCAATACTTCTCTTTCTGAGGTATTTTCCCAATACTACAAGAAGTCACACAGACAGACTAGAGTCTGCATTCTACATTCTGCAGAGCATTACAGGGTGGTGAATGGTGTTCCTCAGTGTTTGATGTGTAAAACTGGAAGGACTCTAAATTCAAAATGTTTTCTGTCTACTTCATTTTGCTTTGTTCCCCAGCTGTTCTAATAAAAGACCTTGCCTTTCCCTACAAAAAGCCTTGCTCCCCTTATATTCTTTGCCTATTAGGTCTGCATTTGCTACTGTAAAGATTTATGTGTCATCTTGTAGAGGGAAATTATTAATAATAATTCTTGTAGAATCAGATCTTTAAATAGATATGACTCTCTTATCCCTTCTCCTGACCTGCTTTACTAGCAGCCTTTCCTCGTTCCCACTGTGTCTCTTTTCTCTGACAACTGTGATTAAGCAGCCTTTTCTGACTGATGGTCAGGTGTGGCTGCATCTGAGCTGTTCTCTCAAGCAGGATATCTGGAGTTTCTGAAAGGGAAAATAAGGTATTCTTTCTCCTGGTGTGACCTGAAGATCACTTCTGTGCACTTCTGAAAGTCCTACTTCCTCCTCAATTTGCATTAAGTTTTCAGCTACCTCTTTGGTGATGTGTGATGCCCTTCTTTATTCCTAGTATTCCTTAATCTAGATATTTTTATGGTCTTTTAGTGAAAGAGGAGTAAATATTATTTTTTTCTCACAGTTCTATGATAATTTTGGTTTGGTTTTACAGTCTCCATTTTTTCTAGTCTCTCTGGAGTAAGATTTCTTTCCTTTCTGCATCTCTCTTGAATTCTGAATAAATTACTTAAGTCCATAAATACACTTACCTGTATAGATAATTCCATGGATTTCTAGTCCTGTATTTATCTACTGCTATTAATACAAAGCAGTTTCATGGAAACTTGCATACTTGAGCATTGTAGCTAATGATGCATATCCAAGCATCCATTTATATATCTAGGATATTAAAAAAAACAAAATATGTTCACTTCATATATTTAAAATGAAAAAACAAGTCAGCAAATGTAATGCAAAACTGAGAGGTGGGAAATGTTTAAATGTAAGATGAGAATGATATGTGAGAATTTTCTTAAAATGCAAAATCACTATTTTGGAATTGTGAAAAAATACACAGTTTCAT